AGAGAGAGATACAAACATCTATGTGAGAGAGATACATCCATCAGCTGCCTCCTGTGCGCCCCCTACTGGGATCGAGCTTGAAACCCGGGCATGTGCCTTGACCGGGAATTGAACTGGGATCTCTCAGCCCATGGGACGTTGCTCAATCCACTGAGCCACACCAGCCAGGCTCTTCCATGTACTTTATTATTATAATTATTTTTTGCATTTATCTTCAGATAGAGTGGGAGGGAGAGAGAGAGGAAGTGAGAGAGAGAAACATCAATGTGAGAGACACATCCAGTGGTTGCTACCCACATGACCCCAACCAGGGCTGGGGACAAACTGCAACCGAGGCACGCGCCCTTAGAGGGAACCAAACCCGGGTCTGAGGTATGTGCCCTTAGCGGAACTGAACCCTGAACTCTATGGTCCGCGGGCCAAGGCTCTAACTGCTGAGCCAAACTGGCCAGGGCTCTTCCATGTACTTTAGAAAGAAGTCTGCCAGATTTGGAATTTGTCTCCCTCTGAAACCAAAGCTTTCAAGAACAGAAAAGCCCAACAAATATGAGCTAATTCATCTGCAGAAGTAACTTACCCCAGAAGATGGTTTGGGCCCTGGCCGGTTTGGCTCATCAGTTAGTGTCGGCCTGTGGTCCAGAGAAACCCGGGTTCGGTTCCTGCTAAGGGCACGTGCCTCTGTTGCAGTTTGTCCCCGGCCCTAGTTGGGTTGTGTGGGAGGCAGCCACTTGATGTGACCCTTTCATGTCGATGTTTCCCCCCCCCCCCACTCTATCTGAACAAAAAATAGAAAAATGTCCTCGGGTGAGGATAAAAAAAAAAAATACAAGATGGTTTGGGAATGATGGAAGGGAGGCTGGGGAAATGCTCCTGGGAGGCTAAGGTGCATCCTCAGCCCTGAGATGTAACTAATGACAGCTAGACATAACAACAACGAGTAACTGACACCTATTATGTGTTTTCCAAATGCCACAAGTTGGTTTAAGTACCCTACCTACATTATCTCCTTTAACCTTAGAGCAACCCCATGAGGGAACATCAATTGATTCCATTATACAGCTGAGAAAATTGAGACACAGAGAGGTTAAATTACTTGTCCAAGATCACATAGGAAAGAGCTAGGACCCCAGCTCTGGACATCTGGGCTCTAAAAGCCCCAAATTCTAACCCCCAAGCTGTACTGCCTCTCATACCCTGATATAACCACATGTACTGTGTCCTGCTGTGGGCCCTGGTCTGCAAAAAGATTGGTAACAAGGAGTTAGACCATCAGGCTCTGCTGGCTTTTGTCCAGTGCTATCCAAGGCCAAAGACCCCGTGTTTGGCAGATGATAGTCTCTGGAATATTAATATTTCCTGGGCCCAGGAAAGCTGGGTCAATTTCCCTGGTGACCATCAAGTGCTAACCTAACCCTCGTCAGCCTGCGGTCTGGAGAGACCCGGGTTCGGTTCCCTCTAGGGGCGCGTGCCTCGGTTGCGGTTTGTCCCCGGCCCTGGTTGGGTCGTGTGGGTGGCGACCACTTGATGTGTCCCTTCACGTCGATGTTTCTCTCTCTCTCTCTCCCTCCCACTCAGTCTGAACAGAATATCGAAAAATGTCCTCGAGTGAGGATAAAAAAAAAAAAGGAAGGCCTGCTGGGTTTCCCACACTGTGCTTGTTCCTGGAGATACAATGGTCCTGGACAGACCAAACAGAGAAACAAAAAACCTACAGCTCAAGTGCCATCTGTAAAAAAGAGGCAATGGATGCTTAGAAGAGGAAGATGGTGACCAACCCTGCAACACAGGGTCAAAACCCAGAAAGGCTGCTTGGAGAACATGATGCTTGAGCTAAACATTAGAGAAATATGTATCTACGTATTCTTGTGGCATACATAGGGTTTCACTTTCCTTTTTAAAATTTTTTTTGGTACATGCCCCTAACAGGACCCAAACCCAGGACTCTCTGGTCCGCGGACCGATGCTCCAACTGCTGAGCCAAACTGGCCAGGGCCACATAATTTTTTTTAATGCACTGGGATTTTTTTTTTTTAATCCTCACCTGAGGACATTTTTCCATTTTTTGTTTAGATAGAGTGGGAGGGAGAGAAAGGAAGACAGAGAGAGAGAGAGAAACATCGATGTGAAAGGGACACATCAAGTGGCTGCCACCCGCACGACCAACCAGGGCTGGGGACAAACTGCAACCGAGGTACACACCATTAGCAGGAACTAAACCCAGGTCTCTCTGGACCGCAGGCCGATGCTCTAACCACTGAACCAAAGTGGCCAGGGCTGGGATTTCATTTTGATATAAGATGTGAGGTTGAACTTGAACTTAATTTACTTTTTCAAACGGTAAGCTAGTGCAAATGGTTTTCAATCAGTTCATCTGTCCTTACTTGAGATGGATGCCAAATTTATCATGTGCTAAATTGGTATATGTTTGATCTATTATTATGTCCACTTTTTTCTTCTTTTTGTTTGTTTTTTTTCTTTCACTTTTTTTTAAAACCTCACCCGAGGATGTTTTTTCCCATTGACTTTTTAGAGTGAGAGGAAGGGAGGGAGGGAAAGAGAGAAACATCAGTGTGAAAGAGACACATTGATTGGTTGCTCCCACATGTGTCCCTGCAACTTGGGTACATGCCCTTGATGGGTAATCGAACTCACGACTCTTTGGTGCTTGGGCCCACACTCTAATCACTGAGCCACACCGGCCGGGGCCAATTTTTATTCAGTTCCATTGATCTTGGGTGGAAGGTACAATATTGTAGTGGCAAACTTTTCAGGATCTAACGTCAGATTATTTGGGGTATGCCTCAGTTCCCTCATTTGTGAAATGTAGATAATACTAATACCTACTTCATGTGATGGCTGTGAAGATGTGTTACACACACTCCTACATAGACCACTCTCAAGTTTCTTGGCTGCTTCTTTTGGTACTTGCCTCTATATTTCTAAATAACATGCTTATATTATTATTTCTTTTTATGTTTTAGATATGATAGATTTACTGTCTTTGGTGGAAGATGAGGATATAGTTCTCTCTAATCCTGACTCTCCTAATATGCTCCCCATCCCCACCCTCTCAATTAAAATATATCCTAACTTTTAGTTAAATCAATACTCAATCAGTGTTTACATTATTATGCTGTGAAAATATTCTTCACAGCTTATTTATGTAGTGTTTGTACTAAGACTCTGTAAATCTGTAAAAAATGCTTAATAAAATTAGCATGAAGGACCTGGGGCTGAGAGACTTTGTTCTCTAAAATCACAGTCACAAGCTTTGCTATTTGAGATCAATCAGTAAGAATGGAACATCCCACTCTTGCTTGGAGGTCTGAGCCATGTGGGTTACTTTGACACAAAGAAGCAGCCTTGTGTTGGACAGAACAGTAGATTTATCTTAATTATGTAGTTATCTATTACATAATTATCTAAAATTAACTATCTTCACTTTGTAGTTTCCAAGTGGACCCTCAGTCCACTTCTCAGCCCAGGCTTGCTGTTGATTCCCTCACTATGTCTGTGCTTACGTTGAACCTATCAAAACACTGTTTGTTTGTTTTAATCCTCACCCAAGGACACTTTTTGATATTTTGTTCAGATAGAATGGGAGGGAGAGAGAGAGAGAAACATCCACGTTAAAGGGAGACATTGAGTGGTCGCCACCCACATGACCCAACCAGGGCCAGGGACAAACTGCAACTGAGGTACATGCCCTTAGCCGGAACGAATCTGGGTCTCTCCAGACTGCAGGCCAATGCTCTAACCGCTGAGCAAAACCGGCCAGGTCAAAACACTGCTTTATTTAAATATTACCTAAACTCCACCTTTACCATATCCTGTAGTGACCTGGTTTTTCCTTTGATGAACCGCTCCATATAGTTCCTCTAGTGTGTGTTCTTTCTTGCAGCAGCAATAAACCTCTGTCAAATATACAGTTATGTTTCTACTAGTCTTTATCAAGCAGACCTTTTATCAATTCTCTTTCCTTTCTTTCCTACTTTATTTTCTATATACCTATTATGAATTCATCCCCCAAACTCTCTGAAAGATGTATACACCTTCACTCAATACCTTAAGCATATCAGATAATTCCTCTGTCCCACAGTTCTTTCCCTTAAAGAGACCCTCCTGGAGCCCTTCTTCCCCTGGCTCCAAGCTGTACTATTTTCTCCCCTGCATTTCTTTTTTTTTTTTTTTTTAAATCCTCACCCGAGGATATTTTTCCACTTTTTTTTTCTTTATAAATCCTCACCTGAGGACATTTTTTCCATTTTTTTGTTCAGATAGAGTGGGTGGGAGAAACCGCTGAGCCAAACCGGCCAGGGCTCCCCTGAGTTTCTTTTTAAAAATATGACAATCTGCCCTGGCCGGTTGGAGCGTCGGCCTGCAGTCCAGAGAGACCCGGGTTCGGTTGCCGCTAGGGGCATGTACCCCTCCCCCCAAAAAGAAATGACAATCTTTGTTCTAACACCTATCTTAAAGCATCATTTGCCGGACCCCTCCTTTCCTCCTCCCCCCCCAGGAGTGGTCATATGTCTTGATATCTCTATTTCTCCAAAGTTTATCATGGCGCTCAAGAAAAGTTTCAATGAATGAATGAAAGAATAAAATAATTAATTAACGAATGGGATTTGTATGCATATGTGAAGTTTAAGGAGAACGATATTGCAAGGTTTAAGGGTGGCCTCAGGCTTTATTTTTTCCCTTCTTAGTGAATTTATTGGGGTGACACTGCTTAACAAAATCATACCCGTTTCAGGCGCACAATAGCCTCGGGCTTTCTACAAGCTCCACGCCAGCTTGCAGCGGGGTCCTGAGGGAGAGAAGCAGCGCCGAAGCCCCGGGGACCCAAGCCGCAGTTTGCAGAGCTGGAAGGGCTGCAAAGACAGCGGCTGCGAGCCCTCCAGGCACCGCCGTGAGAACTACAGCTCCCAGAAAGCCGCGCGAAGGCGGAGCGCGAGCCGGGGAGGGGTTCCGCACGCTGACGTCAGAGCCGCGCGGAACTGGGAAGAGCTGGGCAGAGGTACGTGTAGGTTGAAGTCTGAATGGCGAGGGCGAGGGTGAGAGCGGTGGCGGAGTGGCCCTGCGGGTAGGTGAGACGAAGAGGCCTGGTGAGGGAGGGCAGACAGGTCTCAGCCGAAGCGAGGTTGCGAGGTGGAAAGACCTAGAGCTCTGCTTGCTCTTCCCGCAGCCACCATGACGAAATTAGCACAGTGGCTTTGGGCACTGGCGCTCCTGGGCTCCGCCTGGGCGGCCTTGACCATGGGGGCCCTGGGCCTGGATTTGCCTTCGCCATGCCGGGAGGTCCTGTGGCCACTGCCTGCCTACTTGCTGGTGTCTGCCGGCTGCTTTGCCCTGGGCACTGTGGGCTACCGCGTGGCCACTTTTCACGACTGCGAGGACGCCGCCCGCGAGCTGCAGAGCCAGATCCAGGAAGCCAGAGCTGACTTATCCCGCAGGGGGATGCGCTTCTGATACCCGAACCCCATTTCCGCTTGGACAGCCCCTCCCTCCCATCCCCCATTAAAGAACAAGTTTACTTTCTAACTGTGTAGTATGGAGAATGGGATTTGGGGGTTGTGTGTGTACTAAGTATCAAGAACTGAATGGCAGACAAGCCACCTTCCTGAGGTCATCCGAGCTTTACCTTTGCATCCGGCTGGTGTACCTCCTTTTTGCTCCAAGGAGGCAAAGGCCCCTTCTCAAATCTTTCAGGAGGGAAATGTTTCACATCTCTGGTCATTTTAACCCTGTCAGGAAGTACTTCTTGAAGCCTAAATTATATTCTTCATAACATCCAAGCTCTGTCCCAGGTCTTTCCTAGGTTGCTCTGGTTCTTTTAGATACATCTTCTCAGCTAACCCTACCAGCCCAAGAATAACTCTGGATCAGACAGTACACTTCCACCCTTCACCAAACTAGGCAGGTTGAGAATCACTGAATAGAGAATGAACCTTGATGGGCAGGTGTAGGGAGCAGTTTATTTTAAGGCACATTCTAAAGATTTCACCCCAACCTCCAAAATTAAAAAATATAATCTCTAAAAAATAAGTGCTTCATCTCCCAGTTCCCACCCACTCTTCTAAGTAAAACTCTTTCTTTGGTCCCGATTCCCAAAGTTGTCTCTTTTTCTTTCCCATTAATCCATGGCACCCTTGGAGCTGGTCGGCAGGAACAACTGAAACAGGTTGGCATTAAGGTGTCCTGTGGTCAGGTGGACTGCCTTAGGTTTGTAAGAGTTGGTAGTTCCTGTCTTGCTCCTGAGGGTACTTCCAGAAAAGCCAGAGGCGAATGACGCTGGTGAGGATTCCTGGGAGGTTGGGCACCTGAAATCACAAGGCCTGCTATGAGGAGAGGCGTTGATTTTCCACCTTGCACACCTGCCACCCCATCCCTGCATTGCTTACCATGATGTATGGATCTCTGAGTTGATACCCATAGAGAGTCCAGGAGGCAGAGGTGAGGAGGGTGGCAATGGTCAATGAGAAAGAGAGACGTTGGGTTGATTTAGTCTGAATAACTTTGGCCTGTGGGAAAGGGTGAAAGACACTCTTAGGACAGACACAGTAAAGTTCCCATCTTGCCTGATAATTTCCTCAGAAAAATAGGTCAAATATCCTCCCCGATCTTCTGTTTCCCAGCTTTTCCCTCCCATCTCCTACTCACCCACCTCTACTGCCCTGTCTCCTTCCAGGATTTGATTCTTCCCTTCTTCTGGAGTGTAAGCTATAGACTGGCTATGGAAGCCTGACCCTTATCTCCCCCACCTCCATGGACACTCCCACTCACCAAGTCAGTCAGTGGTGAGAGGTACATACTGATGGTGAAAACACTGCAGAAGAGGCCCAGCTGCTGAAGCCTGGCCTCAATGTTGGGCACCAGGAGCCAAAAGTAGCCAAAACCCAGGAGAAGGACCCCCAGCAGGGTTGCAGTCTGTAGGAGCACAGCACCCTGCAGGGGAGAGAATAGCTTTATTTCTATATATGCCAGCAGCCCTCTCTGACTCCCCTACTGGAATTAACTTTTCCTGCCTTTTCCCATGCTCCAGTGAACCATCCTTTATCTCTAGGCCTCCAGTATTGCACTTGTCACAGCCTTTTCCCCACCAGTGACTTGATCTACCCACAACACTGGAGATTTCTAGGGGAGGGAAAGATACTTTTTTGGGTGTGTGAGCTTGGTATACACAAGAGGAGCTTAATAAATGCTTGTGTGATTTAATGGGGAAACAGCTAATCTCATTCTCAGCCACTGGCTCTGGTTCTGAAGGAATTATGGGAGACAAAAGCCCTTTCCCTAGTTTGTTGGGCAGCAAGGCACCATCCGGGTAGGCAGAGTTACCAGCCTTGCCAGAATAAGGGGAGATGTGTGGGTCTCAGAAGGCTGGCTTCATGGAGAAAGGAAGACTGCAATGCTGGAGGGGCCTTCCAGGAAAAAGTGGCAGTGCCAGCTTGTTATAGTCTTCCAGGAAGCATTGTTTGCCTGCCAGCAAGGCAGGGCATGCAGCAAAGCGGTGGGTGCATGGGAGGGCCTCTACCTTCCGAGGGCAGTAGTGCAGATACACCAAGATATATAGGGTCTGAAGCACCGCGCCCACAGCGTTGACGATGATTAGGGTCCCGTCTCCCTTCAAGGTCCCATAACTCAGCCAGCTCAGGTTGCTGCATGATGGAGGGGATGGACATTCCCCGTGGGGTTGAATGTGGGAGGGGGACCCGAGGGGCCTCTTCCACGGTCCTCCCCCCACCATACCCCCCTCACAGTCTTTCCCGGCATAGCCATCATTCCTCTCACTTGACATCCGTGGTGAGAAAGGGCAGGAACTGGACATTGTCCACTCTCCGAGTCATCCACATGTGCCTGAGGTCCGAGCTGTAATGGTGCCCCGAAGGCAGGGGTGAGAGGGGAAGGGAGAACCAGGCTGCTGGGGAGTGGAGATCCCCAATGCCTGTCATCCTCCCCTGACAACTGCAGACCCCCGGTTCCGCCCTCGGCTCCCTTGCCTTCTTCAGGTCAAGTGACCAGCCTCGCCCTGGTACCCCGGTCCCTTCGACCCGATTCCACTTTGACCCCAGGTTCCGGACGCAGGCTGGGGCTGCAGCCACGTCTCCGTCCCCTCTCGCTCCTTTCCTGACTCCTGGTCCTGCCCTAGCCCGGCCCGGTCGCACTCTCACAGGCCGGTGGAGAACATGCCAAGGGTGAAGAGCAAGCAAGATCCGGAAAGGAGCGTGTCCGCCACGCCGCCCGCCTCCATCCCTCTCCAAGTCGGCTCCCGCTCGGCGGCTGGCTGGGTGCTGGGCTCTGGACATGGGAGTCCCGCCCCTCCGGTCCCGCTGCTGCGCTCGGCCGTCCCCCGGAAACCGAACGTGAACCTGGTCTAGGACGTAAAGCGGAAACTCAGGCCCCGCCCTCCTGGCCCGCGGCCGGCTCGCGAGGTTCCCGGTACTATGCCGCCCTCCGGGCTCGGTCAGCCGCTTCCTGCGGCTCGGCGGACTTGTCTCGGGCCCATCGCTCCCCACTCCCTGCTTATCCCTTGGACCACCTAGACCCCAGCCTCCACTCTCCCACAGGCCCGCGAGCCTAAGCGGTAGACCTCAAAACAAAAGCTTGCTGGACCCCACCAGACCTCAGTGGCCCAGGGTTTGGGAGGTTTTTCCCAGTTTGCTGAAGCTTCTTCCCATTCCCTCAGCTAAATAACAGGGATTGCCAGGAATCAGTCCTGTCAAGTACCCTCTCCTTTCAGCCACACAACCAATTTGGCTGGTCCACTAAAGCGCATATAATTCTGATCCCCCTAGTCCAACCCGACTTGCTGCTGGGAACTTTCCCTCCCAGATTCTCACACCTCTGTTGTGGCGCTTCTGGAGGGGTGCCTGCCTCAGCTATTCCCTTGAGGGCTGCCCTGACTCACACAACAGCATGAGTACCTGCACGGTATGCCAAAGCCCAAAGCCCAAAGCCCAGCGCCGCAAGGGCGGGAATGGGGCAGAATTTTGACCGGAACTTCCAGAGTGGGGTCAGACTAGAACCCGAGAAACTTCCGGGAGTACTTCTGTCCCAACAACCCTGAGGAGGACCCCCCTCCCCACATTTGGGGCTGGTGAGGGGTATGTATTCTTTCCAGAGAGGGAAAAAAATTCAAACCCAGTTGCTATTGGTATTCTCCATAGCAGGGACTCAACGGTCACAAGTTAGTATGGTGGGTGGAAAAGCAAGTCCAAAAAAACAAACATACAGCTTTATTTTCAGACAAACAACATTGTATAAAAAACAACAAAAAAATTCCAGTTGTAGGAATCAGCAGACACACAGCAAGTTTATATACAGATTCTGTACACGTGGGCCCCGCCCTTCAAGCTACATTCTAGGCACAGACTCTGGGTTCATGGGCACTGCCCTTACAGCTATACTCTAGGAAAAGACTGGCATAGCCCCCCTGCTGGCACAGCTTTGGGGAGTGCTGCCCCAAGATAGAAGGTACGTTGGCTGGTTGCAAACCTCTGCATGGCAGCTCCATGGATGGGAGATGCTGGATTCACCCAAGCCACTGCCTCTCCTATCCTTGGCTCCCAGGCAGGAAACTGTCTCTTGCTTTTCCTTCAGTCAGTTCATCCTGGCATCCGGGCTCTCTGTGGAAGGGGCATCTTTGCCAAACTCAGTGTCCAACCACATGACCCCAGACCCCTTCCAGCTCAGCTCCCACAGTGCCCTTCTTACAAGTCCATATCTGCACAGCTTATTTGTTTGTTTGTTTTTGGCTTAAGGGCAGGAATGGCAGGAGAAGTACTGTCCTGCTTCTTTGTCCTTCTGAGGTGGAGGCAAAGATGGCACTACCAGGCTTGCCGACCTCCTATGGGTTGAAACCCTTAATACTGACCCGTTTTGAGGCTGCTGGGTGGCAGCTTGTACATATGGTGGGAGAGGTTCCCAGCACTGGGGCTTTGTGAGAGGCCCCAGGACAGGTGAGGGATGCCTGCATCTGCCTTGTCAGCCCAGTCCAATCCTTAGGCCAGATGTGGCACACAGCTTCACAGGGTTTGCAGCAGCAGGAACGGCAGAAACAGCACAGCCCAGGCAAATGGGAAGAGGCGAGGGGCAGCACTGTGACCGATGCTATGTAGAACCTGCACCTCTGGGTCATCTGCAAGGTGGGAGGGCAAAGGCTCTCAGGTGAGCAGTCCCAGGACTGGCGCTGGCCCTCAGCCCAACAAGGTTTCCCCAGTTCCTGCCTGGCCGAGGAGCTACCTCCTGTACCCAACCTCCTCAAGCAGACCCTCTTGTTTGCCCCAGGTCCACTTTGCTCCAGCTACCTACCTGCTGGAAGTCTCCCCTCCTGTGGATTGGCATGGGCCTGAGGACTGTGAGCTAAAACACAGGGGTGGCCGTAGATCAGGTACTGTACCAGGGAGGCAGAGGAGTGGGAGTGCTGGGTGGGCCAGGCAGTGGAACTTCCCCACCATCCCAGGTCATTAGGTCAGGCCCAGCATAGGGATGGAGGAAGGAGGCTCACAGGGCCCTAACACTCACTGATTTTGCCATTGACGGTCACCTTCAACCTCAAACACTGGTCTTCTACTTGGTGGATGGGTTTGGCTGCAAGATAAACCCACACAGGGTTAAGGAAGGGGAAGGAACCTTTGTTGGAAGAAAACAGAAGTGCAAATGCCTCTGGCCCTGCTTTCTCAGTTCTTGCTCATTTGAATCCCTTTCTTCCCTTTAAACTTTGATTCTTACCTTCCTTAAGTTTTGCTCACTTTCTACCCCATGTTCAGCCCAACCTCCCTTCTTTGGGATAGCCCTTGGCTTTGGAGATAGTGGTGAAAAGAATATAGCCACTGTCCCCTCCCCACAGTCCATCCTTCACTCCTCCCAGCTGGAAGTTGGGTGAGGCCTGTACGATATGCTCCCCTTACCAGGATACTTTGTACTCCCCTTGCCTAGGCACCACTGAAAGGGTGAGGCCTGGCTGCATTCTACACAAAGCTGACCTTATCACTCTTAAAATCTTCCAGTGGCTCTTGCTCTCCACTGCCCTCAGGATAAACTCCTCAGCACTTCTTAGGACCCTGTGATCTGCCCTGTCCATCTCTCCAAGCTCCTATCTCCCTACTTTGAAGTGTCCCTCCTACTCTAGCCAGGCTAACCATATGGAGTTCCCTGAAGATGTCATGTTGCCTTTGCACATGTCCCCTCATTTATGGCCAACTCTTCTGCTTTTCCTAAGTTCTGGGAAGCCAGGAAGCTTTCTCTGAGCCCCCCTGGAAGGTACCTAGGTCATTTTTCCAGGGCCCCTGTGCTCATGCCTACCATATAATACTGTTCTAATGGTTTATTAACCTATATGTGTCTCTTCCCAGCTTCCTAGAGGATAGGGACCCAGTAGTGTTTTATTTATCTTTGTGACTGTAGTGCCAAGCAGAGTGCCCAGTACACAGTAGAAGCTCACTCCATATTTGTGATGTGAACAAATGAAAACGGAAGCCAGGATTGGAGAGGCCCTCTGCTTCGTGACTCCTCACTAAATATGTACTCAGGCATATGCATCATGCCAGCTGCATTCCCTCAGTATGTGCTGTGTGCCTTCGTGCATGCCTCCCAGGCACTCACAGATGTAGTAGTAGCTGTGTCCCTCTTTGAACTCCTTGCCCAGGGTAAAGGGTGTGAAGCGCAGAAACTTCTCAGACAGCTTCTCTGGGCCATGCCTGGCACTGGGGTGGTTGCACTGCCAGCGGACCTGTTCCTTGGATTGGGGTTGGCACAGCTGGTACTGCTCACGCTCCACCAGGTACAGTGTATACTGCTCCATGGCAGTGGCTGCCACAGAGTCATCCTCGTAATGGGGACAGATGATGTCCAGGTAGTCATTCAGCTGCACATGTACTGTGTAGTCCTCATTCCGGAGCCTGGGTGTGCACAGAGGAGGAGGAAGCAAGCGGTTGCTCAGAAACCAGATCAGAGCCTCGAGTCTCCAAATGTTTACATGACCCCTTACATTTCACACGGACCCCACACAAATGTTTTAACAATCTCAACTCTCAATATTGACTGATCTTGATTTCTTAAATATCTTTCCACCATCTCCAACCCCCCCATTATTGTGTCCTATAATCCAATAAATAAATAGCATCCACTTAGTATTTTTCAGGTAACAAAGCCTTCCCATAACTCCCCTGATATTTATCCAAGGATGGGCTTCTAAATATTTCCTTAGCTCACTTATCATTCTCTTCTACCCATAAATATTTCCCCAAATTTATTCTACCAGGTGCTCCTTTAAATGCTATTAGACCTCAGTCTAACTCTATGGGCCCATCTGTCATCAATATCCAAGTAACCCTTTCTCTTTACCAGACTAGCATTCAGCTCCAACACATCTATGTCTTCACTTCTCTTACTCATTTCATTATTTTCTCCCCTGACCCATTGAGTATATTTCACATATCTTAGCTTTATTCCCCCCCAAAACCCTCAGTATACTCAGGCCCAAAGATAATGCCTGAATCCTTTAAGTTAAATCACTTTCATCAATTCATTCATTCCCCTCAAATCTCCCTTTCTAGCTACTCAAAATGATGCTCAGGTCTCCTTGTCTACTTTTCTCAAAGCACCCCAAAACATCATTGTCCCTTTATCTCCCAAAGCCACACATTCAGCCGTGAGGTCAGCTCCAGAATTGCTAGAGTTCTCAGATCTGAGGCTGCCTCTCTCCTGCCAAGGTGGAGCCAGCTCCCCTCCCCCAGCCCATTCCCTCCAGGCTCCACAGGCTCCACAGGCTCCAGCCTGACTGCCCACCAGTCCCTCCCCCCAGCTCCAGACACCTGGCTCCAGTCTGGGTGGGGTCCTAGTAGGGGGAAAAGTGCTTCCCCATCTCCCTCACCAAGCTGGTCAGCTTCTCTGAATTCCCCTAAACACTGTCAGCTAGACACTCAGCAGAGTTGGCTGCCAACTTGCTACAAACCAAAGCTCTGGGCATGGGTGGTGGGAGGAATGGCAGGAATTAGGCCAAGGCCTTGGAGGTGGGCACTCACTGGCCAGTCAGTAGGACCCCCAAGAGGCCTCGCCTTACAGCAGGGTGTCAGTTCTCAAGCCAGGCTTACCAGGGCTCCTCCCCCACCCTGGGAAGAGAGGGTAAGAGGCAGGGAGGGAGGGAGGGAGAGAGAGAGAGAGAGAAGCAGAGAGAGGCTTTTAAAATTCCTCTCTGGAGAGATAAACATAGAAGCCATTTCAGAACAGGTATTTCAGCTCTGGGCCTGGCATCTTTCCCCCATTCCAGTGAAGGGCACTGACTCATTCCTCATCCACCTCTGCCACCCTCCCCAGCATTCATGAGAGTCTGTGAAAGTTTACCTTGTCAAATGTGGACAGCCTCTAGGACCCCAGGATGGCACAGTGTCCACTTGCCCTGAATACTCTCCTCCAGGCAAAGGGAGCTGGCAGGTCTGAATGAGCATAGTACTTGTCTCTCCAGCACCAAGGATGCCAGTGCCCAGCTCACAGTGGCACCACCCTTCTTCCCACGCTGCCCCCCCAAGATCTCAGGGCAGATGCCCACTTCCCTGAGTCACCCATGTCAGCCTCACACCCGCCCAGCCCATTGCCACCTCATCTTTGCCCCTGAGCTGGGCCCAGTTTGGCTGCCTGTGGACTCCATTCTGGGTTTGCTTCTCTTTAGTCCTGGGTATGGTAGGGGTGTGTGTGTGGTCAGATGAGCAAGGCAGAAGCTCTCCTTGGTGGGGGTACCCATCACCCCCTTCCTGCTCCACTTAGGGCCCTTTTGAATCTTGCTCTCCATTTGGGAAAGGGGGGCAGTGGCGTCAGGGAAGGCGGGAAAGGGGGCAAGGAAGAGGCTTCTTCCTGAAAGAGAGGAAACCTGGGAGCTTGGGAACGGAAAAGGCCAGGGTCCCCCCCTCCCTACTCACAGCTTCCTGTCCCCTCCTCCTCCTTCAGCCAACACCTGGCATGGGCATAAACAGGGACTTTGCTCTCTCCCACTAGGACAAGAGTGGGTCAAGGAAGCAAAGAGCAGACAGCAAGGAGTGGGGTGGGGGAGGGCTGAGGGGGCTGCCCCTTTTAAACCACGGGCAAGAGGGCACTGCCCTCTGGGGTTGGCAGCTAGCTGTTCTCTCCCCACTCAACATGCCACAGAGACAGATCCACTCACCAGGCAATGCTGCCACAGGATCAGAGGAAGCTGGCACAATATATTTCTCAAGGGGGACCAGCACACTAGGGCTGGGGTGGCTGAGCTGACTGTAGTGTTTTTCCTGACCCCAAGCTGTCCAGCCCTCCACTTATTCTTCTCCCTACCTTCCTCTCCTGTTTTTTGCAAATATTGTTTCCATAACTTCAGAAAACTCAAGGGCAAGAACAAAGGGTCCCACGGAGCTTCTTCCGTCTTGTACCATTTGCCTCACAGCCCTAAAACTGCCCAGGAGAAATTAACTCCTTTCTGCCCAGAGGCCTTTGTAACCTTTTAACCCCTTCCAGTCCTTCTGAACCTTTCCCATGACCTCCCTCCCCCCATCTCTTCAGTTTTACTACTTGAACCTCATAAACAGATGACTACCTCAGCCTACTCTTGCACAGCATGTGCCTCACTCATGTCACCTCACAAGATCCCTTGGTGGGGCGCTTTCCACAATCACCTTAAATATAGAATAAACGCTTAATGTCCAAAGCCCAGGTCCCTCCTGAGAGGTCCTTCTAGGACTACAGTGAGCATTCTGCTTACTCCTGATGTCATACCAAGTACCTGTCAGTGTGGGCAGATACCCAAGTGACAGACAAGGAGGGGCACACAGGCTCTCAGGGTGGAAGGACCTACAAGAGCCCTGGTGGCCAGGAAGGGTGGTCCATGCTGGAGGCAGGGACTGTTCAGCATGTGTTCCTCACTTCGGAGAAATAGAGGTGCCAGAGGGAAGGAAAGGAGGGGCAAAAACAATGCCCACGCAAGCAGACACAGGCAGATTCCTACCCTGGGGTGCCCTACTCCCAGTTATAGGGGATAAGCAAGAGGAAGAGCTTCTATAGAATCCCTCCCGCCTCTGGTCACCACCCCAACAATTCCAGTCAGGGGCTGGTGAGGACAGTTAAACCGGACGCCCTTGTCGGCGGAGACTCGGGGCTTACTTGGGGTTTGAACTGTTCCAGAAGACGGTGTGGCGGTCAGCAGCGGCCAGACTGTAGCAGAGACCCAAGAGAGGGGCCCAGAAGAACTCCATAGCGCGGGGCCTGGCCAGGCCGGGCGTGGACGAGGAACTCGTCAGGGTCTGGGTTCTCGCTGGCTTTCTCCAAGGCGCAGTCGGCACAGCGCTCACAGATCTGGCTCCAGCGCCTTTGGACTCCGCCTTTTGGGCCAGAGCCGCCCGACACCCCGCCCCGCCCCCTGCCCCGCCCGGCGTGCGGCTGCCCTGGGGCTTGGGGACTGGGAAGGTGGAGGAGGGGAGCGCAGGCGAGGGGAGCCGAGCGCGCGACTCAGCCCCGGCAGATCCGCAAAGCGCTAGGTTTTCGCTCACTTGTGGGTCTGTGTGCGGCTTTCTGGGCCTGTACGGGGTGGTGGGTCTGTGCCCCCGGCACAGTCGCGTGCGGAAGAGGGGAACCAACTCCACCAGTAGCTCTGCGAACACGCGGGGGCGAGACCCGACTTTCCCGCAGCGCGCGCGGATCTTGCAGGGTGCAAGGTTGTTGATAAGTCCGGCACCTTCACTAGCCTCACGTTCCCAGGCTCCCTGCGGCGTTCCCACACTCTCCTCGCCACTCCCCTCCCCCTTCCCGGACTCTGCGCTCAGCTGCCCCTCCTCAAATACACTGCTGTTTGTTTTTGTTGGGTTTGTCAATGTTGTCTTTGTTCGGGTGATTGTGTCATCGCCTAGATGCAGGGAATAAAGTGCGACCAAGTGTGTAACGTGTGTGGCCCGGGCTAAGGGCGCACCTCTGTGCCCGAGAGAGGGAGAGACACTTGGGATCTTGGGCCAGCGAGAGGGTTCGCTCGTTACTAGTGCTCCAAAGGGTGCTAACGACGTGTGTGTGTGTGTGTGTGTGTGTGTACACACGTGTGTACCGTGCGAATTGGCTTTGAATATGGACTGTGAGAATCTCTGAACATGAAGAGTGACAAACTAACCATACATGTGCATCTGGTATGTACACATACGTGTGATGGGGCGCAAGAGTGAAAGCATTTGAGTCCTATTACAGCCGCGTGTGGGGTAGGAAAGCGTGTGAAACTTTGACGTGTGTATGCAAAAGTTTGTGTGAAGAGGAAGGGAAACGTGCACAGGCCCGCAGGGTATGTGGGGTAGGGGGCAGGAGTGTCTGCGTGGCATCCCGGGGGTGGGCAGCTGGGTCTCGCAGTCACCAGGCCCCAGAATCCAGCTCGGCCCCCTCCCCCCCCGCGCGCTGTAAACAAACCCGCTGGAATTCGCTTTCTGGGGTCCCTGTCCCCGCGGGGATATACTGAGGTGTGGAGGGGGGCTGGCGGGTGGGAGTCTGCCTCCCAGACCTCGGGGAGGAGCGGGCGGGCAGGTGTTTGATTGGGCTCGAGTGTCTGGCGCGGGAGGGTCGAGTGCTGTGTGCCTGGGTGTCTGGTGGCTTGTGTGTGTGATCGCGTGTCTGTCTGTTCGCACGCCCCCGGTTGGTGTTGGAGTGTGTGCGCATTCCTGGCCAGCCCTCCACACTGCTGCGCAGCGCGGAAAGCCGCAGACTCCAGGCCCTCAGCCCGCGCGGGCCCAGCTTCCCGGGTTTCCAGGCCGTTTCATCCTCCTCTTTTACTGCCAGGCCTGGCGACAGCCCCTGTAATTACGTGGGGCCAGGACGCCAAGGATAGTCCGGCGCTGACCCCGCGGGGAGGAGCCTGAGGCAGAGGAGGGCCCAGGCTGGCCCCCATCCCCGGGGCGCAAGTTGCTTGAGGTCCGACTCACGGTGCGGATGGTAAATATTTACCCAGCGCCTACTAGGTTCTTGGCCTGACTTTACGTGCTACCCCCACCCGCCTCCACGCTCTGGCTCGCACCTGCCGCAGGCGACGTGCCTAGCCCTATGTTTTACCCGACCTGTAGCCCGCCCCTCCTGCCGTGGCCAAAGTCTACCTGCGGACCAGCTCCAGGGCGGCGCCTCACGCGTGTTTTACTCACCTGGGAGGTCACTTGGGAGGACACCTGGGTGTTGGCCTCCCACGTGCCCCCCCCCCCGCGAGATTATCCCATCCCTGCGCCTGTGTCCCATAGAATCAAAGCTCCACGAAGGCAGGGATATTTTGGTTCTGTGCTGTATTGCCAACTTCTGTCACAGTACTTAGCACACGTAGTAGCTGGTAAATAAATATTTGTTGAGTGGGTGACATCACTGTTCAGTGAAGGTACTTAAATTAACTTCTACCGACTTACTGCTCCAAGAAACCGGAGAGGAGTTAGGAAGGGGAGGAGTGGTGGTAGCTCTAAAGACGGGCCCAGGGCTGCCCCCTGGAGGAGATGGTTTGGGGCACATTCCCTGATTTCTCCGGCTGCCGGGACTGCAGGGTGGGAACGTGTGGGGACCCTGGGCTGCGCCGCTAGGGCCGGGCAGGTTCAGGCTCGCACGGCCCAGCCCGGCGGGGCTACGTCCGTTCCTGCCCCGCCTGCGTCTAGGGCTGCGGCAAGCCGGGTGGAAAAAAGATGTGTGTAGGGGAATTCGAGGCACGAACGGAACACGGGGCCCTCCTTCCCCGGCTTGGCGCTGTCCCCAACATTCTCACTTCAGGCTTTGATCTCATTACTCTTCTATGCAAATATTTGTGCGTTTAGGGTACTGGGACGCCTCTAGGAGCCAGGTATTGTGATGAGCAACGAAGGTAAGGGTGCGACTAAAATAAAATTCCTGCCCATGAGGAGCCTCCAGACCAGTCGGGAAAATAGAAAAACCACCATTTCTACAACAAATTTGCCTTTAAGTTCCTCTTGCACAGACTGCAGCTCCACACTCGGAGAGCTGTTGCGACAGCTGCTGCGACGCCCGCTGGATGGAGAGCAGAGTTGCAGGTACTGCGTGACAACAGAAAAGTAAGCTCAGAGACTCTTCTTGATGACCAACTCAGTCCCCATCCTGTCCCCTCCCCCACCCCAGCCCTCAGCCCCCAGCCTGCCCAGGCGGGTCTCGTCTTGGCTCTGGCATTGGGCTACCTCTCACCGCAAACTTGTGTGCTTGTGAAGGTTCTCAGCACCGCCACCCCCCAGGCAAACATCTGTGCTCTGTGGCGGGAGCTGTCTGAGGTGTCTGTCTGTCTCTCTGCCTGCCTATCTGGGAAATTCCCCTCATGAGCCTTTTCTGTGAATTCCCGAGAGTCAGGATTAACTCTCTGAGCGCCTTGGAGGAAGCCTGACCTCTGGAGGGAGGAGCCATTTCCAGTCTGAACAGTCAGAACTCCTTGATTGCTACTCCTTTGCTGAACAACCTGTGGTTTGGAGTGGCAGAACCACAGGGTCCTGGGGTGCCTGCTAATCTGTCCCTGTCCCTGAGGGCATTTCTAGACAATGCGGTGGAGGTGGGAGGCCTGAGCCTGGAGCAGCTTCTGTTCCACTCCCTCAACGTCACTTTGAAAAATAAAGTATATGTTTCCCACTTTATTAATAATGTGTGTATATTTCCCACTTTATTAATAATGTGTGTAATGTTAGAAAAGAGAGAACAGGAGAATAAAGGGGAGGAGGAGCCACCTGCCACTGTTAATATCTTCATCTCTTCCCTGCCAACATTTTGCTTGTGAGATTTTGGTCGAGGTAGGGTGGGGAGGGGTGGGGTGGTGGGTGGGGGTTGCTTGCTTTTACATAGTGTGATAATATCTCACATTTCTATTGTGTACTTTTTCTCCTTTAACTTATGACAGAAGACATTTTTTTGTGTTGCAAACTCTGTAAACAATAATTTTTTAGTATTTTTTTTCTTTAATCCTCACTTGATATATATTTTTATTGATTTTTAGAGAGAGAGAGAGAAAAACATCCATCGGTTGCCTCCCATCTGAACCCAACCGGGGATCGAACCTACAATTTAGGTATGTGCCCTGATCAGGAATGGAGCCCGAAACCTTTTGGTGTACAGGACAGTGCTCTAACCAACTGAGCCCTTCAGCCAGGCTGTAATCAATACTTTTAACTGTAGCATAATGTTCCATTAAGTGTTTCAGAGTTTGCCATTGTAATGAGGCAGGGTAGATATAAATAAACACATCCACACACACTCAGACTAGCCTCAGTTGCTGAGCACTTGAGTTGACTGGTCTTAGAACTTAAAAATAAACCTGAGGTTGACTTGCATTCAATAAGTATTTATGGGGCACCCAATCTGGACTGGACTCTGAATTGGGACTGGGGACTTAGTGGAGGACAATAGGAGAGGGCCCTGCTCTCATGGAGCTTATGTTTTAGATGAAATCTGGGCACCTGCTTTTCTAGACTTTAGAGAATTTCACAATGTAGGGAAATGCTTTTGATAAAGCCAGATTTGTGTGTGTGTGTGTGTGTGTGTGTGTGTGTGAGAGAGAGAGAGAGAGAGAGAGAGAGAGAGAGAGATCATTTGGCTGCCTCTCGCACCCCCCCTACTGGGGATCAAGCCTACAACCCAGGCATGTGCCCTACCAGGAATTGAACCAGGACCTCTCAGTCCATGGGATGATGCTCAATCCACTAAGCCACACCCACTGGGCCAGATTCTTTTAAAAATCTACTTTAAAACAGGTTTTATTTTTTAGAACAGTTTTAGATTTACAGAAAAATTGAGATGATAGTATAGAGTTTCCATATACTTCCTCACCCAATTTTCCTTATCATTAGTAACTTATAGTATGTTCATTTATTGCAGTTAATGAACCAATATTGATACATTAATAATGGAAGTTCAGCCTAGCTGGTGTGAGTCGTGGATTGAGCATTGTCCCATGGACTGAGAGGTCCCAGTTAGATTCCCAGTCAGGGCACATGCCCAGGTTGTGGGCTCGATCCCCAGTAAGGGATGTGCTGGAGGTGGCCGATCGATGTATCTCTCTCACATCGATGTTTCTATCTCTCTCTCCCTTCCTTTCTCTCTAAAAAATCAATTTTAAAAAATAATGTAAGTTCAGATTTCCTAAGCTTTTACTTACTGTCCTTTCTTTGTTCTAGGATTCCACCCAGGATACCACATTACATTTATTTGTCATACCTTCCTAGGTTCCTCTTGGCTGTGACAATTTCTCAGACTTGCCTTGTTTATGATGGCCTTAACAGTTTTGAGGGAAATGGTTAAGTATTTATAAGATGCCTCTCTACTGGAATTTATCTGATGTTTTTCTCATGATTAGACTGGAGTTATGAGTTTTTGGGTGGAAAATTACAGAAATACAGTGTCATTCTC